CAGAGGTGGAAAGGTCACTGAGCTCAGAGGTGACCCACATTCTTGAATATCTGTAGTACACCAGCATACCTCACCTTTTTTATAGGCTGGTTCAGTCTTCCCATGAACCCACATGGTAATGGATTGACTTGCTGCTAGGGCCATTTGGGTTTGTGTGATATCTTTTGACAATATTGTGCATACATGCTTTCCCAATCTAAGAGAACATGATGGCTGCATTAAGAGAGATGGTATATTTTTCCCACTTAAACCTCCCATGATCATTTGCTTACATAATAGCAAATATAATCAGGTCACATCTAACAATTTTATTAGTATGGAATGCAAACTAGTCAAGATCAAAATCCACAGAATAAAATGCAAATATGTATATATCTCTTTATAATGCTGGTGTGGTTTTTGAGGAATAGAAGTATATTGGTGATATCTAGTTCACCAATTTTGTATATTTATGTCAAATATTCCTATTGGCAGAATAAAAATAGCCTTATTTTTCCAATTACAAAAGTAAACATCTATTGTTAAAAAATTATATAATGATCATATCCATTTCAGAAGAAAAATAAAATTCCTGATGATCCCACCACTTAGTAACAGCAGTATTGTTTTGATTATATGCGCATCTATAATTTTTCTATGCCATATTTGTACGTTTATAAAAATAGGAAACATACTTTTAATTTGCTTTTTCCTTATAACAATGTCTTTCCTTCATTTATTTAACAATTTTTTGAGCCAGTCAATATTCTAAATATAGGGGAGAATACAGTGAAAATAAGCCAAACACACATGTATCATGTGCATCACACTATAAGTGTAAATAGACTATATAAATTATTTTAATAACCACATAGTACTCTGTTGTATAGATTAATCATTATTTATTCAATCAAATCTTCCTTTTAGAATGTCAAGGTACTGTATTAAGTTTTCTTCAATATAAGAGGAAGTATACATTGACCTTTGGTGAATTCTAAACCATGTTAAATTATGTCTGCTAATAATAGGATTCAGCTGGTAGTGTTACTCTGTTAAATATGACTTTATAAGCAGTGATATGATTCTTGGCAGATGTGGCTAAAAAGATCAGACAGTGTGGGCCTAGCAGTCTCTCATTTGATGGATGACTGTGGAGATCCTGGAGGTGTCTGAGAGTTGTTTCCAACTCTACCTCTGTCTCAAAGGCTGCTCTCAAAGCATGGTTCCATTCCTTATAAATGGGCACCATGTTGTCATTTTTGACTGCTGTTCCTTCTCAGCCATTTATGGTTATGCAGTGATGTGTGAAGCTGGCCTTCTGGGGATTCTGGAAGCATTTCTCCTCCCCTCTTTGATAGGAATTGCTGTTCTTTTGTTCTTTAGCCAAAAACCAGCAGGCCACCTTCTTGCCATCTGTGTGAGTCCTGCACACAGTGACATGAGGTGATGTCACAGAATCTATTTGCTAATGATTTGAGCACACTATTTGATGTTCAGTACAAAGCAAAACATAGCCCAGGAAAATTATAAACTTTTACAGTATTAGAGCTTGTACAGCCTCTGTTTATGGACAAGGATATCAAGGTTTAGAGAAGTTCAATGAATTGCCTCAAGTCTCATAGTTAGTGAATTTAGTTAGAATTTCTGATTTCTCATCACACGCTAATTCCAGGGGATCAGCTATTCCAAGTTGTGGTAGTTTCATATAGGATCCTTATAACAAGTCGGGGAACACATTGCATTGGAGCATTTCTATGTGGCCTTCAATTAAAATGTCTTCTGTACCAAACCATGCCAGTTTCCCAAATATGGAATTTTCATTTAATTCTCTACTTTGTTAATCTGGGAGAGGCTTTTAGATAGCATGCAATATGTATTACAAAATTCAGTGATTATTCCCAGTTTCAGTGTGCTTTCCATTAGATGTCCAATGTGACCTCCATCTTTAGGCTTATGATTGGAACATCTCACTGCTACAATCTTGCAAAGGCAGCTCCAGCGAACTGCATGTTAAGATGAAAGAACCCCAGCAGGTTTCTGATCACATTTATCTGGGTCATGGACTGACTTGGATTGACTGGTAGATTCTACTCAGATCTTGTGAAAGTCACATTTTCTTCTTTTGGAGAGTACTGAAATCTGATTTTCAAAGAAACTCAGTGGCAAAGAACTGAGACGCTTTGCAATAACATGCTACCACACATGACTGAATCAGTCAGGGTCACTTCAGGTGAATTGGGCTGGCTACTAAATAACCATACAGAGGCAGAAAATATCTTTTTGGGGGTTCAGTGACAGCTCCTCCACCTCAGCTCCCACAAAGGAGGCAAGAGAGGCAGGCAAAGGAGAGAGAGCTCGCCTGAGACCCTCCTATTTATTGAGGAGAAGCCATTCATATAATATTCTACCCAAACAAGGCAAGGGGTCAGGTTTCGGAGGGTTGAGTCTTGTTTGGTGATGTCTTGGTCAGCAGTTTGACTGACATCTTAGAAAGTCACACCCATATCAGGTGCTGTGTGGTGATCACAGGCAGAGTGAGCAAAAAGCACACATACATCCCACAGCCCAGTCAGAGCAGCAATGTCAGTCCAGTCCCCTCATGTACTCAAATACGCATAGCTTACACACACAGCCCATGAATGGCTTTTGATAGTAACGATTGTTTTTGTGAGGGAAACTGCAAAAGATCTTCGTTAATAAAGCAAAGCAGTATATCTGACATTGCATATCATCAAAAATTACTGAGGTTTAGTCTTTTTTTTTTTTTTTTTTGGTGGTGGTGAGGTACCAGAGACTGAACTCAGGGGCACTCAACCTGAACCAATCCCCAGCCCTATTTGGTATTTTATTCAGAGACAGGGTCTCACTGAGTTGCTTAGCACCTTGCTTTTACTGAGGCTGGCTTTGAATTTATAATCCTCTTGCCTCAGCCTCCAGAGCTGCTGGGATTACACGTGTATGCTACCTTGCCCAGCTGAGGTTTCGTCTTAAAAAGTGCATTTTTTTGAGGGCATAGTGATTAAGAGTCCATACTCTAGGCCAACTGCTTAGGTTTACATTCTGAATCTGCCTGTACTGTGTAGCTTTTGGCAAGTTTCTTAATCTTTCTATCCTCTATTCCTAATATTACTGGTACCAGGTGATATGTTGGGAATCTTAAATGAGGTAATACAAAGTACCTAAAACACTATCTGGCAATTGATAAACACCATATAAGTGTTTACTATTATTATTCTCAAATTTCTCATTTCATTCATTCATTCAATTATTCAATTACAATTTATTGGAATCTCTTCTGTGTGCTACTTAAATAATATAAAGATTCCCAGCCCTTAAGAATCTCATAGCTTAGTGGGTTGAGAGACATGACGAAAACCATGACACTGTAGGTATATGGCAAGGAAAGTGACATAATGGAGAACTATGAGTGCCATGGAAGTAAGACATAGAAATACCTAAGGGGAAGGCTTTACAGGGGCTGTTTGAGCTGGGAAAAGAAGAATGAAAAAGAGTTGGTCAGCAGTCATTAGGAGTGGGCATTCCAGGCATGTACAGAAACAAGGCCTAAGAGGATGGTAGAATAACTAGAACAAAAAACACAGTGGCTGAGTGCAACCCAATTCAGGGCCTGTTGATATAAGCAGGTAGGAACCAGAAAGGCCTATATTCTACAGAGGTTCCTGTGAGAGATGATAAACCTTCAAATGTGGACATTGGCTATGCCACCCTGGAGCCCTCATTGAGAGGGAGCCCAGCAGTGGAGTAGGGTGAGGAGCAATAAGGGCAGTGGGAACACCTGTTATATCTGGTTATGTCTGTCCCACAGCTGATTGGAAGACACCCAGGCGCTATTCTGCTCATCTATACAGTTTCTCTCCGAAACTTAAATGGTTATTTATGGGCATGTGATATTATGAAAAATGTCTATTTTGGTTTTTGTCCATAGTTCCTGGCTTATACCTCCATTGTCTTTATTTCCTAAATGACTACAACAATAAATTTGAAGATTTTTGCCTTTTGGCTTTGGTTCCTGAAGCAGCTTTGTTATAATGTGTGTGTGGGCAGGGGGGAGGCACTTTCAGCTTCAGAAGCAGGTTTCCCCAAAACCAAAGGCTTTCTCTCTAACCTGATTTCACTTGCTCCTTTCCCTCTCCAAGGCAGGCCATTGAAATCAGAATTTCTCTTCCCCAAGGCAGGTCATAGAAATTAAAAATAGAATCTAATTTTCTCTCACCTTTTCTTCTATAAAATGAATTCTCTGATATTACATCATAAGACCGCCATTGCAGAAGGAGTCCTACCTCCCACACACTGGAGAAGGAATGCAACACAGAGAGGCCAAGATGAATGTGAACAGACAGGCCATGCTGGGTTTCCCTACTCAGCCTATTAGCACAGGTCCTATCTTTTTGACCAATTACATTTCTACATAGTTGTCCCATGCTTTATACCTAGGCAATGAGCTCTCCTTAAAAACCCAAGTGGACAAAGTTCCAAGCTTTGGGACAACTAAGCATGTGGCGGCTTACAGGAGAGTAAGTAAGAACTCATCCATGTGCTGGGAAGATGGCACACTCTAACTCCATGGGGACCTCTCCAGATTTCACCCTGTGTATTTCTTCAACTTGCTATTTATTTATATCATTTAAATTATATCATTAAATTTTCCTTTATAATAAACCAGTAAACATAAGTATTTCAGTGAGTTCTGTGAGCCTCTGTAGCAAATTAAATGATCCTGAGGTGAGAGATAGTCATTGGAAACCCAACGCAAAACTGGTTGGTCAGAAGTTTCAGAGGCCAGGATTTAGGACTAGTATCTGAATCAAGGGAAGTCCTCTGGGAGATCTGACACTATCTGTCAGAACTAAATTGGATTAGTGTATGCCCAGCTGGTGTCCAAAGCAAAATTGCTGGCTTACTGGTGGGGAAAAAATCCCTATGCATTTTGGGATCAGAGAGTGATGGGTTGTGAGTATATCGTGGAAGAAACTGAATTTCTTTTTCTCTTATCTCCTCAGGGCATGTGAACATATTGTCACCATAAGGGACTTCAAGAAGATCTTTCCAGAGGCAGAGGGAACATCTACTTGGAACTCATGACACATTGCAGAAGTTAAGGACACATCAAGTTTTAGCAAAGAGGAAAGAGCCCTATTAAAAGTGAAAGGTAAAGATACACATACTCAGAGAAGCATGTGTGTGTGTTCTTTTTTGTTAAATATTTTTAAATATATCTTTTTAGTTGTAGATGGACACCTTTATTTTATTTATTTATGTGGTACTGAGGATCAAACTCAGTGCTTCATATGTGCTAGGCAGGCACTCTGCCGCTGAGCCACAACCTCAGCTCCCGTGTGTGCTCTCTTGAGAGTGAGAAGTGCTTTTGAGTCTCAGGCTCTTCTTTTAAACAACACTTTATGAAGGGCAGCATGGGAAGGTATGTGGGAACCATGCCAGCTTGATGAACTCAGCTCTTTGATTGTGGACCACAAGATATTTCTGGTGGTTAATCTTCCAAGATTGACATTGTCTTTTTTATCTAGGTAATATTTGGAATGTGCCTATATTGTAGATTTTTAAAATACATCTCCCTTTGCTTTATCTAATTTGAAAATCCACTGTGTAGGCTAACAGTACATTTAAGCTTTAACCAAAATGAGGCAATTTTCACCAGGCATGGTGGCACATATCTCTAATCGCATCTACTCAGGAGGCTCAGAAAGAAGTATCACAAGTTTGAGGCCAGCCCCAGCAACTTAGCCAGACCCTGTCTCCCAATAAAAAACAAAAAGGGTTGGGGGTATTATTACAGTGGAAGAATACTCCTGAGTTTAACCCTCAGTACTGTGGGGGAAATAAGACAATTTTCATAGAAAAGTGAATTTATAGTCACTAAAATTTGTAGATTTCTCAGAAATTTGGGAGTGACAGATCAGGAGGAAAAAACAGGTCTGGGGAGAAGGTCTGATGATGGGGCTTTGAGATTTACAGCTACAGTCTCCTTCCTTCCCTTTTGTCTCCTTTCTACGATCTTTATTCCTGCTATCTTTCCTCCATGTACTTTTTACTAAAAAGGGAGGAGGAAGTCACAACAGTCATCAGAAACATAATTTCACTGTTTTATTGAATGTTACTGAAAACGAAATGTATTATTGGTAGTTTTCAGTTTAAACTAGGTAAACAAAACATTTTCTTGTTTTTTTTTTTTTTTCTTCTTCCAGTGTTGAGGATTGTATGAAACCAGGACCCCACACATGCTAGGCAAGTGCTCTGCCACTAGGCTATATCTCCAAGGCCTTTTAAAAAATTTCAACAGGGTCTTGATAAATTGCTAAGGCTGGCCTCAAACTTGTGATCCTCTTGCCTCAGCCTCCTGAGTAGCTGAGATTACAGGTGCCCCACCATTCTTGACTGTGATTTTCTTTTTTAAAAAAAATTATTTATTTTTGAAACGCTAAGGATTAAATTCAATGCTTCACTCATGCTAGGCAAGCACTATGCCACTAAGCCACAAACCCAGCCCTGTGATTTCTTTTTAAAAAAACATTTAAATGAACAATTTTTAGCTAAAATATTAAATTATTACCATGAATAATGCACCTACCTTACTTTTCTCTGATTTTCCTAAATTATCTTTAAATCTTTAAAAAATATTTTGAAAGGGGCTTCTAAGTTTTAAGGCAAAGCTTTAAGATTGAACTCCTACATAGTCCAAGGCATGATTCTGTAACTTTTTATAAATATTAAATGAATTCAAGACATAGCATACTCAATAAATAGAAATTTTAATTTCAATTCCATTTTGAGCCTATTCAAAAATCTTGGGCTAAAGGTATACCTCAGTGGTAGAATGCATGCTTAGCATGAGCACCAATTTTATCCCAAACACACACACACACACAAAGGTAGTTTGGGGAGAAGGATTGTGAGGATTGTGAGGAAGCACAAAATTTTACATTCTTTTTTAAAAAATATTTTTAATTGTAGATGGACACAATACCTTATTTTATTTATTTATTTTTATGTGGTGCTGAGGATTGAACCTAGTGACTCACACGTGCTAGGCAAGTGCTTTACCACTGAGCTATAACCCAGCCCTACATTCCTGTTTAATTTTCAAAAATTGCATTAAAATCAATTATAAGGCAGAAAATATATATAGTTGGCCCTCAGTATCTGTGGGAGATCAGTTCTATGCCCCCACTGCCCAGGGATATACCAGGATCTGAGGATGCCCTGGCCCCTTATATAAAATGACATAGTATTTACATAACCTATGCACATCCTCCTGTGTACTTTAATACATTGTAAATGCTATGTAAATAATATACTGTTTTGTTTAAAGAATGATGAGAAAAAAGACATGTTCGACTTTGTGTGTGTGTGTGTATGTGTGTGTGTGCTTGCGTGTGGCACTGGGGATTGAACCCAGGGACAATCTGCCATTAAGCTATATCTCCACCTTTTAAAAAATGATTTTACTTTGAGACAGAGTCTCACTAAATTGCCCAGGCTGGCCTCAATCTTGTAATTCTCCTGCTTCAGTCACCTAAATCTCTGGGATTAGAGGTGTGTGCCACCACACCTGACTCACCCACCCTTTTTAAAGAGGATAAAGACACAGACTAATTGAATGTTTTAGGCATAGCCAACAGCTGAGTAGAGCAAATATTAACAGCCAGACTTTCTACCAATCCATAATTTGTTTTTTCTTCAACCTTTATTCAGTAAATAATTATGAAGTGTCTTCTATATGCCAGATGCTATTTTAAACATGGTAACCTGGTGGCTAATGGAGGAGTGGAGTATATGAATGATCATGGCTCCAGGACAAAAGCAAGTAGAGGGAGGCAAAGCCTAGTCCTATGGGAGCTGGGAATAGATCCAATCTAGTCTAGGAAATGCTTCCCAATAGAGCTGAATCCTGGGCAGAGTGTTGAAGATGGGCTGGGGTTGCGAGTCTAGGGGGTACTGGTTTGGGTGCTTAGGAGACAGAGAGTGAGAACACTTTGGAAGAATTCCCAGTGTAATGATCCAGGCCTTAGGCCATAGAAATTGCATGCGGAAGTGGACTTGAAGAGGAGACTGGAATAGAGAGGTCACAGAGAAAAGGGCTGTTTGCATGGCAAGGGCTTAGTATTTGTATTGCAAACATACAATGGTGAGTTATTAAGTTTTGAGGAGGAAGTTATGATCATATTTCCATTTTTTATCCTATCACCCTGAAGTGGCTTAAAATGAAGGGAAAGAATGAAGTGAGGGTATGGTTGTGTGTGGGGGAGAAGCCATTATGCAAGGAAGAAAGGGCATTTATGGTAATTTGTTGTTATCAGCAACTTAAATTAATTTTGAGTGAATTAAGGGAAAACAGTAGAAATGGAAAAAGCAAATGGATTCCAGAAATGCTGAGATAAGATCAGCAGCTCTAGATGTTTGTTAGAAGTAGGGGCAGGATCAGTCCTGAACTGATGGACATATTTGATGGTGAGTTTGAAGTACCTGTGGACATTCAGTTATATACCTCGAGAATGGTTAGATATTTGAATCCAACCCTCAGGAAAGATCTGGCTGGAGGCATATTTGGGAATCAGCTGGTACAGGTTCCAACTGAAGCTAAGGGCCTGGGAAAAGTACTTGAGTGAAAGGCATAGTACAGACACTAAGAAGGATGGATCTTTGGGAACACAGCTGTCAGGGATGGTGGGATAAGAGAATAGAGGCAAGGCAGAGAGGTAGTGTCACTTAACCCAAGAGAGGAGGAACTAGTTAGCAATGGGAGTTCTGCAGAGCTCAGGAGAGATAATCACTCAAACAAGCTAAAAGCTTGTTTCAAACCTTTTCAAAGGTTTCATCAAACCTAAGCTTTCACTAATGCCACTGCCCTTACCCCACTCCCTTATTACTCCCCAGCACCCCTTTACTCACAGACCAACAAGAAGCGACAGCATTCTTATGCTTGTATTTTGCTCCTTTCTTGGGATGCCTCATCCTTGTCTAAGTTCTGTCCATCTATCCAGACCTATCACAAGTCCATTTTGCCCATGGCTGCCTGCATGTGCTCCAGTTCTGCTCTATACAGACCTGTATAATTTTACTTTGTGTCACTGGAGGAGTTCCTGGAGAGGGGGACCTTGTCTCAGAATAAATGGGGTCCTTGGTACATGACAGAAAAGCATTTCAGCACGAGCCAGTGACACAGACAGATATATTTAGGAAAGCAGATACACATTCAAGGAGAATGTGGGGTAAAGCATGGAATACACATCCAAGAGAGGATGCAGGCCATCTCCAGAGGGAGACAGCAACCCCTTGGTCTGGGGTGTTACTATACATAGAGGGAAAGTAGCTAAGAGGTGAAGGGCAGAGGTATGCAATTTCATGCCAGTTTTCCTGCACTTGTGTATTTCTCTCAAATGATGTTACTTTTTTCAGGCAAGAACATGGGCCAAAGATATGGTAGGTTGCTCAGGAATTGCTTATTTTGCATTTCAAGATTCATGGGCATATTCGGTGGCTCACAGGCCTTTCTCTTTTGAGACTCAGTGTATCTTTTTCTGTATCCCTAAATTCCTATCTCATTTACACTTGATTATGTGCCATTTGGTGTTTTTAGCTATTGATTCATGAAGTCTGACTCTTCTTATAAGCTTCTTCAAATAAGAAGTCATCTTTTTCTGTGGTCTCTGTAGCCTGGAATAGTGTTGAACAGATAATCCTTACTCTGAAAAAGCTTTCTGGTTGATCAAAATGATGTTTGCCTTTTGACTTGTCCAGGTCATGAGGATTCTTTTTTTTTTCTTTTCTTTTCTTTTTGTGGTATTAGGGATTGAAACCAGAGGAACTCTACCACTGAACTACATCCCAGGCCCTTTATACTTTTTATTTTAGGACAGGGTCTCATTAAATTTCCCAGGCTGTCCTCAAACTTGTGATCCCTCCTGCTTCAGCCTTCCAAGTAGTTGGATTCAGGATTTTTTTTTTTTTTTTGGTTCCAAGAATTAAACCCAGGGTTGTTTAATCACTGAGCCACATCCCCAACCTATTTTTATTTTTTTTATTTTGAGACAGGGTCTCACCAAGTTGCTTAGGGCCTTGCTAAGCTGCTGAGGCTGGCTTCAAACCTGAAATACTTCTGTTTCAGCCTCCCAAGCTGCTGGGATTACAGTAGTGTGCCACCATGCCTGGCTAGTTCAGGAGGATTCTTAATGAAGATTTGAATTTCAGATGTCCAGGAGTTGGAGTGAATCCTGTGCAAGGTAGATGGTTCTGAGGTTGCCTCTTGGTCAGCTGATAACCACAGCAGCTTAGGTAGGATTACATGGGACAGAGGCCAGGAATGAGGGAATCCTCACTCAGAGAAGCCACCTAGGAAGGCATGAAGGTGTGTGCCTGAACAACACTATGATGCTGACATGTGTTTCCTCCAAAATAAGCTCAAACTTTACAGCTGGTCTTTTGAAGCTTCTTTCTGGAAGTGCTGCCCACTCTGGCTTGGTGAAAGTGAGGTCTATCTAAGGACAGGGGGTGCTGAAAGCAAGAACCCACTAGACAGTGGTCTGTAGTTTATGATGACACAAGATTTATAACCATTTCCATTACTGTGGTTGTATTGGTTGTTCTCAGACAAAAGGAGAATTTCATGTCAGAGGAAGAGGTAGTTGCTAAGGGGGTAAAAAAAAGAATATATATCCCTTCCTTTACTCCTAAAGCTTCTTGCTCTCTAGATGGCCACATTCTCCCTTCTACTGAAGGAGATTGTAAGTTTGAGGCCAGACTGGGCAACCCTGTTCTCAAAATAAAATGGGCGGGGGATATAGATCAGTGGTAGAGCACCTTGAGTTCAATCCCCAGTACTGCAAAAATGTTTAGAATTTTTCATGACCTTGCACATCCCAAGGGAAATTTAAATCCTTTCTACCCACAGGTAAGAGTACTTACTTCTTTGTAACCCCCCTCATTGCTGAATGAGATAAGGAATTATATTCTGAGTTGAAGGCCATGGTGGTTGTGTCCCTGGACTACCTGGTCCCTCTGTGAGTATCAGGTTTACACAATCCAGGGCCTGTATTAATCCAGAGGAGTATTAATCCAGAGGCATTAATACCTATGGAAACTCAAAGACTGGTGTGCATTTTAAAGATCTCATTCGCAATTGGTTCTGCCAACTTTTTCTTCGGTGTTCCTTTTCCTTTGAACTAAAGTTAATATCCTTTTGGTCTTACATCTCTCTGCTTCTTAGTATAGACCTCTCAATTTATTTTCCATGAAAAGTGAAGTAGAAATAAATTTCTGAAAAAAGACTTACCAACATAAAGTCACAAGACTAATCAACATAAAGTCACAAGGGAGGCTAGTAATGTGAGAACTAAAGGACTGCCATGGTCACAGTTAAACAGGCCTGGTCTTCTGGAGTTTAACAATACAGCAGCATCACATTCTGTCCTTCCTCTCTCAGAATAGATGGGACCAGTTAGTTGCTACAATTGACTTATGCTCCATTCCACCCATTAAATAATCAAAAACTGAAACTTTATAAATTCTGTTGAGCCAGATGTGGTGAAACACACCTGAAATCCAAGCTACTTGGAAAGCTGAGGCAGGAGAATCACCAAGTTTGAGGCCAGGCTTGGCATTTTAGTGAGGCAATGTTTCAAAATAAAAAGGACTAGGGATGTAGCACACCTGCACATACTGCAAACAAACAAACAAAAAATTCAGTTGAATCATCAGGTTTGTAAAAACCTACTATTTAATAGACATTGTTTTATTTACTTTAGTTATTTATTGCAGTAATGGGAATTGAACTTAGGAGCTTTCTTCTACCAGTGAATTATATTCCCAGCCCGCTTTATTTTTTGAGACAGGGTTTCACTAAATCACTCAGCCTAGCTTTGAACTTCCTCAGTCTCCTAAATAGCTGGGATTAGAGCACCACTGCCCCTGGCTAGACACCTTAAGGATATAAAGATAAGAAGGAACTGGATGGTTATGTATTATTTGAGATGCAGAATTGTTGCAGATTGGTCTGGGTATCCAAAGATAATGTAAAATCCTTAATATCAGATGACATCCAGATGGAGCCTACTGGAAAATATCTTTAGAGATTCCTTCTTATAAAGGAATCATACCAATCATAAAATCAGACTGATATTTTCATATGCCCAATTTTTTTTTGTCTATCAATCATAAAATCAGACTGATATTTTCATCTGATTTTGTTTTCTGCTTCACAAGAGATAATAGAAGCTTGTGTCTAAAGAACAGAGATCCAGGCTGGGGATGTGGCTCAAGCAGTAGCGCGCTTGCCTGGCATGCGTGCGGCCCGGGTTCGATCCTCAGCACCACATACAAACAAAAATGTTGTGTCCACCGAAAACTAAAAAATAAAAATATTAAAAAAAAAGAACAGAGATCCAACAAGCCCAACTCCCCCAGATAATATGTTGGCTAACAGCAAAAGAACAACTTGAAAAGTTATCCCATGTCCCATTCCTGCAGTTCTTCCCTCTGAGGTCAGTTGTAGAAGTACTTTTAAGCTTTTCCTTCTTATTTTTAAAAGAATCAAGGTGTTTTTAGATTTATTTTTGGGTTTGTGGGAGAAGGCACTGGGATTGAACCCAAGAGCATTCTACAACTGGGCTATATCCCCAGCCCTTTTTATCTTTTATTTTGAAACAGGGTCTCACTAAGTTGCCCAGGCTGGCCTTGAACCTCTCACCTCAGCTTCTCAAATCCCTGGGATTACATATGTGCACCACCACAGCCAGCCTGAATTAAGGTATTCCAATGAACATTCTTTTTCACTTCCATATTCCCTCTCTGATCCTCCTGCCTTAGCCTCCCAAACTGCTGGGATTATAGGCATGTAGTACCATATCTGGCCACATATTCTGGTTCGCTTCCTGGTTGACTCTGTAATCCTTAGTACTTTCCCCTTGACATTATGAACTATGCCCTATGTTGAGATTTTTATCATAACCTAATTCCAGTAGGAGACCACTGTCTAGTGGGTGCTGACTTAGAAAATGTCTTAATATAGGGTTATTGGAGCTAAAAACAAAATACAAAGATGAAGGAGACATTAGACCATCTACTCATGAGCCATTCCTGTGCTACACACTAGTGATGGTTATAATATTTTTTTTTGTGTGTCACTTTGGAACCAAACATTTTGATAACACTTAACAGGCATCATATCATATAGCCCTTGCATCAACCTTGTAGGGCAGCTTCTCTGTCATTAACTCTACTTCACAGATGACGGACAGCTTAAGATAGTAATGTGACTTGTTGACAGTGGGGTCAAAATTAGAGCTCAGATCTCTCTGATGCCAGTGACTTATAGTGAACTACACTGGTAGAGTCTCATGAGAATCTCCAGGCTTTCCAGCCCATATCTTGGCAAAAGTTTTTAATCTTGTTCTTTGTTTGGAAATCTCCTTCTTTATATCCTTTCAGAAATTCTGACTTTTCCTTTAAGACTCAGTTCAAGGGTAACTTGGAGAGACCTGTCCCCCAATCACGCCTTCTAGTCTGTGAATTGGGGCTTTTCTCTAGTAGAATGCTTAACTACACTTTTCTATAAGGTCCCACTTCTTGTCTATCTCCCAAGTAGACTCTGACCTTCATGAAAGTAGGGAACCTATCTTATTGGTCTTAGCATTCCTAGTATCTAGCATAGAGCCCAGTTCATATTAATAAAAATAGCAAAAGTATTTAACATTTACTAAGCACCTGTCTTGGGCCAGGCAAAACAATTCATTTTTTAGACTCCCTCATTTAACCATCACAACTGCCCCATACAATATGTAAAATTATGAAGAATACTTTGCATATAAAGACAAAGGCTGAGAAAAGTTCTGTAACTTGCCCAAAATCACTCAGTGGCAAAAATCAAGATTCAACTCCAGGTCTGAACTTCTTTCACGTTTTATTGATTGACTGATTGTGCTAAGAAGTGAACTTGGGGGGGGGGGGGCTATAACACTGAGTCACATCACCAGCCTCTTTTATTTTTTCTTTTGAGACAGAGTCTCACTAATTTGCTGAGGCTGCCCTCAAACTTGTGATCCTCCTGCCTTAGCCTCCCAAGTTGCTGGGATTATAGGCATGTAGTACCACGTCTGGCCACATTTTATTTATCATGCCCTACATTTTTTATCTGATTAGATTTTTTTCTCCTTCTATGTAAATAAGTGGGAATATTACATTTTTTTTCACTAAAATTATAGTACTTGCTGTATTTTTTCCTGTTGAAGATCTTTGAAGGTAGGGGTCCATTTATATAAATTGTTATGTAACTTTTTAAAAATATTTTTTTAGTTGTAGATGGAAACAATACTTTCATTTATTCATTTTTATATGGTGCTAATAAGGATTGACTCCAGTGCCTCACATGTACTAGGCAAGCACTCTATCACTGAGCTATTACTCCAGCCCACTATATAACTTTTATTGAGGAAACAAGCTTAGGAATTATAAAGTACAGTTAACTGTATGCTTCTTTACCCAGTAACTTCACATTGAATTTTGCATAAATTTTATGAAATATTTTACAAAATAGTTGCTGTGCTCATCAGATTAAATCTGTCACATAGACATTCCAAGAATAAGTTAAGCATTTCTGAAGCCTGCAAGTACAAATTTAGTTATCCAAGATAGACAAATCCCACTACCCCATTTCCAGAGCTTTTCTCCTTTTTTGAAAAGAACAATCCTGATGGGCACAGTGGCATAGGCCCGTAATCCCAATAATTTGGGATGCTGAGGCAAGAGGATTACAAATCTGAGGCCAGCCTGGGCAACTCAGTGATACTTTGTCTCAAAATGAAAAATAAAAAGGGCTGAAGACATAGCTCAGGGCTAGAGTACCCCTGGGTTCAATCCTCAGTACTGAAAATAATAATAGTAAATTAAATAGAACAATATTTGCAATTAAGACTTTATGTTAAGACTTTATGTTAAGCCATGTTTTAATTTTAACTATTAAAATATCTCAGAATGTGCATTGGTTTTTCCCAACCTAATTTGCTTTTTTCCCAACCTAATTTGCTTTTCTTTAGTTTGAAGTTAATACAATTGCTTACCTCAGATTTTCAAGTTACCAGTGAAATTAGTGGGTAATTTAAGATTAGGTGGGTGCCAAAGAAATGGAGCATTTATTAGCCTTTATTTTTATCTATCTATCCATCTATCTATCTATCTATCACCAGGGATTGAACCCAGGTGAGCTCAACCACTGGGCAACATCCCCAGCTCCCCGCCCACTTTTATTTATTTATTTATTTATTGAGACAGGGTTTCGCTAAATTCCCCAGGGCCTCCCTAAGTTGCTGAGGCTGATCTCAAACTTGTGATCCTCCTTCCTCATCCTCCTTAGCCGCTGGGATTACAGGCGGTACCCCCACGCCCAGCTCTTTATCGTGCTTATATTTGTTGTTCTATGTTTCAACATATTTATAGTAGTTCAAGCCTAATTACATTTTAATTACATTAAGGAACTCTAGTCTTTAAAAGTAATCTGACGTACCATTAAATCTTGTTTATTATTAAATAATGTTAAGGTGGCAAAGAGACCCGTTTGACAAGGCGTGGCTCTGCCTCACCCTGTAGCATGCAGCAGATACAGAATCAGAACACTGGACAGTAAAGGGACCTTGTTCCAACTCCATCCTTCTACCGATGAGGAAAACGAGGTCCAGAGAAGCCAGCTGCAGTTCCCGGTTTCCCCTCCTGCCCTAGGAAGCCAAGTCCATTAAGACTGGTCACAGTTCCTCGCTGTCTGCCGCGTGTCTCATCGCGGTTTCCCTCTCTTCCTCAGGCTGCCCCGGCCCCCACGACGCCACCGCCATGACGACAGCCATCCTGGAGCGCCTGAGCACCCTGTCCGTGAGCGGCCAGCACCTGCGCCGCCTGCCCAAGATCTTGGAGGATGGACTTCCCAAGATGCCCTGCACCGTCCCGGAAACGGATGTGCCCCAGCTCTTCCGGGAGCCGTACATCCGCACGGGCTACCGCCCCACGGGGCACGAATGGCGTTACTACTTCTTCAGCCTCTTTCAGAAACACAACGAAGTCGTCAATGTCTGGACCCACCTGCTGGCGGCCCTGGCCGTACTTTTGCGATTCTGGGCCTTTGCGGAGGCCGAGGCCTTGCCGTGGGCCTCTCCTCACTCCCTGCCCCTGCTCCTGTTTATCCTGTCCTCCATCACGTACCTCACGTGCAGCCTTCTGGCCCACCTGCTGCAGTCCAAGTCCGAGCTGTCCCACTACACCTTCTACTTCGTGGACTACGTTGGCGTCAGTGTTTACCAATATGGCAGTGCCTTGGCCCACTTCTTCTACAGCTCCGACCAGGCCTGGTACGAGCGGTTCTGGCTTTTCTTCTTGCCCGCAGCTGCCTTCTGCGGCTGGTTATCGTGTACTGGCTGTTGCTACGCAAAGTATCGTTACCGAAGGCCTTACCCAGTTATGAGGAAGATCTGTCAAGTGGTACCGGCAGGGCTGGCCTTCATCCTAGACATCAGTCCTGTGGCACACCGGGTGGCACTCTGCCACCTGGCTGGCTGCCAGGAGCAGGCAGCCTGGTACCACACCCTCCAGATCTTTTTCTTCCTGGTCAGCGCCTACTTCTTCTCCTGCCCGGTACCTGAGAAGTATTTCCCGGGTTCCTGTGACATCGTGGGCCATGGGCATCAAATCTTCCATGCCTTTCTGTCTATCTGCACGCTCTCACAACTGGAAGCCATCCTTTTGGACTACCAGGGGCGACATGAGATCTTCCAACAGCGCCATGGTCCTTTGTCTGTCTACATGGCCTGCCTTTCTTTCTTTTTCTTGGCCGCCTGTAGTGCTGCCACCGCAGCCCTTCTGAGACACAAAGTCAAGGCCAGACTGACAAAGAAAGATTCATGAGGCTTTTGGGTGGAATAGGATGTAGATGTGAACGTGGCCCTTGTGATTTGGGGAAAACTTGATACAACAATGGAAGTTGACTTGTTATTTTTAGGGGTTGATTTTCAAATTAATATGTATTTCCAAGGATATGCTATGGCTACAGCATTTAAAAGCCAAAGGATTCAAGAGTTTTGTTGTTAAGTAAAGGAATATTCCTTTTCCTTCTGGGTCATAGCCTTAGAAGGAAAGGGATCTTGGTAAGATTGATGAAACACTGAACTGAGAACTATCTTCATGCCTGAAAATTTAGCAGATTCTGACTATAGCTTCCAGAGGCAAGCTTCCAGAGTGGATAATAAAATAGTACTGGAAAGTAAGTAGGTTTGTCCTCACCTTATTGGAATAACCATCCTACTATGCTGGTCTTTGGTAATTGAATAAATTGACCTAAAGACCTTGTCTTATTTGGATTTCAAATTATCTAGAGGAAAAGTCAGAATCTTCAAGATGATTCAGTGAAACTGTTAGAAATAATGAATTACTCAGTTCATCTGATTTCTGATCCCTACTCTCTCATCCACTCTACCACTGACCCTTTCTCAGGACAGTTGTCTGCCTGGCTGTTTTTTTTTTGTTGTTGTTGTTGTTTTTTTTTTTTTTTTTGTCTGAAGTGCTGTTCACTCCTGTCCCATCTTTGCATGGTAACTATGAAGCAGTCATACTTCCAGGAAATGCTTGAAGCCATGTGACATGCAGGAAGTTCATTCTTGTATAATACTGATGTAAATGGTACTAGAAAGTACAGTGCCAAGAGCCTCCAGGAGGCCCAGCCAACAAGCAACAAACTTGCTTGTTTGGTGTTATGGGACCCTTCTTTTATACCTGTGAACTGTAGGATTACCAGAGCTATTAGGGCTGCCTTACAAACCAGAAGATCTGGGGGTTGCTCTAAGATTCTAAAAAACATATTGACAAAAATGGCTCTTTTGGGGGGTGGGGGTGGGGAACCCTTTGTAGGGTGAAATGGTCCTAAGTTTCCTCTGGGGGTCTGATTATTTCAAGAGAAACTTGAAGTCCAGCCTTCTACATAGATTCTGCCTCATGAAGGACCAACATAACCACCTCAATTCAGGGGCCTCAAGCAGGCAGAACCTTAAAATAATCAAGTCCCAGTACATGTGTTCACTGTGGTTGGTCCCTAAAGGGTCCTTGGGTAAGAGCAAGGGAATCAGGCACCTATAACCAAAATGCTCTGCTTGGAACATTGCTGCCCAGCAGCTTCTGTGAGACAGGTGGTGCTTGCAATTATTGTTCTGGCCATGCAGCCCTCTCTGAGGACTGGCTTCTGCACTAATCCAGTGAAGGAGGCTGCATCAAAGGAAGGGCTGAGAAGCCTTCTCTTCATTGGCTACATTTCCTATCAGTATAAAGTCCCTTGTTTACTAAAAAAGGAAGTGGTTTGTTTTAATTACAGTTTGATGAACCTCCTCTAAGATTATTTTCTTGTCTTCAGAAACAAAGAGTACTTTTTATTCCTTTTTCTGAAAGATTTGTGAGTTTTGTGCCTTATAAATGGAAATGTATGAACACTTTATTTAATATATGCACGTGTGGGATTTCCTATCTTGGGTTATTGGGATCAGAAAAAAAAATCATTGTAAACCTAAGAAAGCTAGAACTATTTATCAATAAAAAGACTTTGAATCTCTGTTTTGGCCAAAAAAAAAAAAAAAAAAATCCAACTCAAGCTTTCCTGTAATCTTTAAATCAAGAAAGCATGTGTCTTTTTTTTTTTTTTTTAAGCATGTGTCTTGTTAGCTACATAGTTTTGCTAAGTGAATTTCTTGTTCATCCTCAAGTATCTCAACTTTTATGCTACCTAAATGTCTTGTACAAGCTTCTGTTTGTCGAGGTCAAATTCACAGCAAATAAAGTTAGCAAAACTGAATGAGGTTGAACTGAAAATAGGGAAGGAGGAATTGTGCAAACATTTCAAGTAGAAGGTCAATTTAAACTGGGAACTTGAAAGTGAAATTTTCATTATTAAAGATTCAAAGACTATAGTGTTTCAAAAATGGAAGAAAAATAAGGGAGAAAGGTGTTAATCAAACTTTTGAACGTAACTATGGTGGTATTGGTGGAGATATTTAGATTAAATCATCCAGATATATATTTTTTTAAAGTGGAAACAGAAAGTAGAGAAGTTATCTTCAAATGTACCTCAGACCAATGCCAATCTGCACCTTGTTATGATTTGCCTATGGCAACATAAGTATAGAAAGAAGCATGAAACTAAGATATTGCCATACAAGTTTTAATTTGCAGAAGATTGACCCTCAAGTGATTGGAAAATTTTTAAAAAGAAAAAAGAAACTGTTTATTTTACAAGTGATATTTGAGAATCATTGAGATAGGGGACTATAATATAATCTCTCTCCTTTTTTGTTTTGGCAGTACTGGGGATGGAACCCAGGGGTACTTTATCATTAAACTACATCACCAACTCCCCCCACCCCACCTTTTTGTGAGACACTGCAATGCTGGCCTTGAACTTGTAATTCTCCTGCCTTAGCCTCCTGAGTGGCTGGGATTACAGGTATGCACCACCATGCCCAGCTATGATATGCTCTCAAAATACTAGTATCTCATTAGAAGTATATAAACACAGGAAGTACAGATGTTTCTAACTACTCAAAACTTTGGGTTTTTTTTGGTACCAGGGGTATTTAACCACTGAGCCTCATCCCTACCCTTTTTAGTTTTTGTTTGTAGACAGGGTCTTGCTAAGTTGCCTAGGACCTTGCTAAGTTGCCTAGGACCTTGCTAAGTTACTGAGGCTGGCTTTGAACTTGGGATCCTCCTGCATCAGCCTCTTGAGCCACCAGGATTACAGGTGAGCACCAAGCCCAGCTAACTACTCAAACTTCTGAAAGAGGCTAATATGCCTCTGAGTGTGTATGTGTGTGGTAGTGTGGTATTGGGGGTTGAATCCAGAGGCACACAACCACTAAGTATGTAGCCCTTTTTGTTTATTTTGAGAGGGTCTTGTTAGGTTGGAGAGGGTCTCGCTAAATTGCTGAGGCTGCCCTCGAATTTGCATTCCTCCTGCCTCAGCCACCAGTTCCTGGGATTATAGGCATGTGCCACTGAGTCTGGCCCCTTTTGAAATATTATCATTAAAATAAGTTTATCAGCTAGGCACGGTGGTACATGCCTGTAATCCCAATGGCTCAGGAGGCTGAGATAGGATGATTACATGTTCAAAGCCAGCCTCAGCAAAAGCAGGCACTAAGGAACTCAATGAGACCCTGTCCCTAAATAAAATACAAAATAGGGCTGGGGATGTGGCTCAGTGGTCGAGTACTCTCAAGTTCAATCCCCAGCACCCAATAAGTAAATGAATAAATATTTATTTATTTATCAGTAAGTCCTAGTTTTAAAGGATAATTAAGAATTTTATAAAGGAGATGGTTATCTTACTCCATCACTGCTCCAACAGTTGACAAGTACTAAAAATTCTGTTTATCTTTTCCTCTCTCACTTTTAATTAAGACTTTGAATCTACTAAAATACAAATGTTGGAACTGCAGTTGTGGCTCAGTGGTAGAGAGCAGCATGTATGAGGCATTGGGTTCAATCCTCAGCACCACATAAAAATAAATAAAATAAAGGTAATATATCCATCTACAACTAAAAAAAAAAAATTCTTAAATGCAGATGTTCCTGATGGAACTAAACTATCAGTATTTTGCATCTTTTGGTGAATAAAAATTCCTATGGATTTGTATGAGGTCCTATTTAGGGCAGCAGAACACAGCAAACTGTAGATACATTTGCCTTTTACCCTCCTGTCTAGTTTCTTCCTGACCTGTATTTACTGATGAGCTAAGTTTAATGCTCTGAAGATATCAGGGTTTTATTTCCAGTTTTGGCTGAAAGTATCTTAATAACGATATTTGCAAGATTCATTTACTAGAAGCTTGAAATAATAGGCATTCATAGCCATGAAATTAGAATGGTTTATTTCTGTCTCTGTTGCCCACATAAGTTTTAACTCTTGAAAATATTTTGTAGGTTTTGGTCACTGCACGGTAGTTTCAAATGGATCCTCCAGATGGCGATCATGTCTTACTTAGAGAACAGCCATTGCCACCCACTTCTGCCTACTAATTGTATTGGTCCTGTGTTTTGCTTGATTGCTTGGCAAAGAAAAAGTGGAACTCTTTTCTGTCTCTATAAATCTACTTACACAAATTATCATTAAATGGATTTTTGTATATGGATTGTTGTGGTGTTAACGATTTAAAAAAGAGTTACCTTCTTTGACAAGGCCCTGGATAGGGGCTACCTTAACAAAGCCTGTCCTAAAGCAAATTTTATTTATACAAACATTACCAGAAGGAGGCTAGGATATCTTATATCCTTCTAGAATTAGTAAAATATATAAGCTTTTAAGTTTTCTCTATATACAACTCCCCCCGCCCAATATACATAGACCTCTATTCCGCACTCGTGAGTAAAACAAACTGCCCCTTAAAAAGTTGATTTCTCTGAGGATTTCAATCTAATTGAATAAATACTCCTACTTTTACAGGTAATAGTGTTAAAAGACTAAAATTTGAGCTGATGGACTGTATTTTTTGAAATCTAAAAATTATTAATGATCATAATTCTACTGTTAATAAGTACTATAGGGGCTGGGGTTGTGGCTCAGTGGTAGAGTGCTTGCCTAGCATGCATGAGGCACTGGGTTCGATCCTCAGCACCACATAAAAGCAAAATAATGTGTCCACCTAAAAACTAAAGATACATAAATAAATAAATGTTAAAAAAATAATAATAAGTACTATAATGCATGTATTGTGAAATGTGGCATCTATCAACCAAATTATTTTGTAGTCTTCACTATTAGATTGAAATAGCTGAGTAAAAGGTGATTATCTGGGTTACTGCAGCTTTAGTCAATAGTACTATCACCGTAAGTGTAAGGAAACATTTCTATGGTTGGAGGCTTCACTGATAGAACTATGGAAGTCTCTCTTGCCTCAACCTTTTTTAATCATCAGCTGGAGCCCCACACAGTTTCCAAATGCTTCTGTTGTTACTCTTACTTGTTTAACCACTTTTAGTTATTGATTTAGCAAGAATTTATTGAGTACCTATTGGTGGTAACATGGTTGCTCTGGAGATACCATAATGAAGAAAAACAGACACAGAGGCTGCAGACAAAGAATCTGTAGTCTGCTGAATGAGGACCAACATCTTCCCTTTAAGGCCCCATGACAGGGTTCCCCTTTTTAGATTTTGGTGCCAGTTACAGCCTGAGTACCAGATGGCCTGAGGAGATTGGCTGCTGTGGGTCAGAACCTTTTCAAAAGGATTGAGCTTTCTGTCTTTTCTCTCCAGAGACCAGAAACATCTCCCCATCCATCCAGCCAATCAACTTAAAGACACTTCAACCTCCTGTTCTTCAACCATTCTTACTGCCCTCTGGTTGTTTAGGTTCAGGTATCCTTGACACATCCAGACACAGAAAGGAACCCTGGATTTTCACAAGCAGTATAGAACTCCCAGGTACTTAAAGTCTCATCCTTCAGGAAAGTGATTGTGGGTTTGACCAGAGTAAGTTTCCTGTGAGAATCATAGGGAGAAGTATTTACTTATTTTAAGATTTCTGGAGGCCTTTATCAAATTGAAATCTCTAGAGTAATACATCAAATTTTATTATGCATTATCCTTTCCCAGACATTCCACATCCATTTGAACTTCTAAATAACTATATGAGGCAAATAAAGTCAAAAGATATCCATGGATCTAGAAAACATTAGTTGAGTGACTGGCTCAAAGTCACACAACTAGCCAAATTGTTTAAACTCATTTTTCCTTCAGCTAAAGCAGAAACATCAGAACCAAATATTTTCAGAGTATTTTATGATGTATGAAGCATTTTTACACATGTGTATTTTAACAAAATCTCATTTTAACTTTTGATTCTAAATCCCTCATGAATAATCAAGGCTGTATTTCTTTTTGAGTTAAAGTGACTTAACTTTACTATATATCCTTGGATACCAAATAAAGCATCCCTTGTGCTACAGAAGCTTCCCAGAAAGCCCAAAGGTCCACTGTCCATTCTTGGCCTAGATTACAGACAAATCCCATTCTCCCATTTAGCTTTTTGAAAAAACCTTTGAATCCTTGTATGAGAAACTCATCCAGTCTTAATAATCTTGCCTAATCCCAAATCCTCCCTGTATCATCTTTCACTGTCAATTTTAGTTTCTCAAATGATTAGCTTACTCACAGACTTTGACAAGAGATAGGGATTTGAACACGGGATTTTAAAAACCTTTCTTTTTTATGCAGATTTAGAAAAGTAGTAGAAAGTTTTAAAAAGTCATTAGTTATTTTTCTCATTTTGCAGTAATACAAAATTGTTACAGAAAATGTAGAAAAGTAGGAAGAAAAGATAATCCAAGGGTCTATCAGTAACATAAAATCCCTTTTAGGGAAAAAATAAAACTTTTGTCAAAATAATCTCAACCACAAAGGTAAATAAACAGTGTCACATAAAACTTTCTGAGAAACCAGAACTTAGGAACTAAAAATTTTAAGTAACTTAATACTTTCATTTTATTAAGTACAAAGTCAACAGTCTTTAGTTGAGTTTACAGGAATATATAGACAGTGACATTATACTCCCTTCTAATGTTGTATTATGCAGGTAATTTGATGATGCTGGGCTGAGATAATGGCTCATGAAACAGAGGCCATGATACATTATCTCTCATGATGAAAGAATTGTGCCTTTTCTGAATCAAGCACCTAGAGTGTACTATGCTAGAAAGATCTTCACTGGAGGCAAAACCCAGTCTGTTTAACTGATGAGTACCATGAGGGACCAGGCTGTGTTCTAGGTATCTGCAATTCAGCAATGAATAAAACATACAAATCCCTGTCCTTGTGGAGAAACATAAACCAGGTAAATATTACATAATCTGTTAGATGGCGATGGTGCCCAGGAGAAACAGCAAGGAAGAGTCACAGCTGAAGGACTGGGGTGAATGTACAACTTTGAATAGGATCAGGGAGGACCCCTAAAACAGAGGTGAGGAAGCCAGCTATGTTTCTCTCCCAGGAACAGGGAATAAGGGCAAGGGCTCTGAGGTCAAAGCTTGCAATGAATAGCAAGGAGGATAGCATGAACATAGAGGGAAGCAGAACAGGACATGAGAGTCCCCAGTTAGTAGTATCTTGTTATGGCAGTTCTAGGACCAATCACAGGGCCATGGGCCCCGCCACACCGCCAATTAAATTGACACAATTTGCCTTAATCAGTGATTTTTGGTGTCTCCGTTTAGTGAGAACAAGTAGAAAATGGAACATGAAGACCATATCCTTCCCCTATCTATACCATGTTAAAGGGAGAACTGGAATATTCAGTTCTCATGTGAATGTTATAGAACCTCTATGGTTCTATCTCATGTAAATGTGAATGTAATAGAACCTCTATGGTAGGGAATTATATACAGACAAAAAATTCAGAACAGTCAGTTTCAGTGTAGTTAAATGTGTTTCCCATCTGAGTCCACCCTGTTAAAGCAGATGTTCCTGGGTTGTACCTTGGCAGCTTCCCACCTGGATCCTTGCTTTTACTTCTTGGCTCTCACAACTGACTCATTTATCTTCAAGCACCTTCACACTTGGGTGAAAAGGCTGTAAATGCACTGTCTGCTTTTGCATCCCAGTGGTGACAGAGAATGAGTGAGTGAGTGAATGTGTGTGTGTGTGTGTGTGTGTGTGTGTGTGAGAGAGAGAGAGAGAGAGAGAGAGAGAGAGAGAGAGAGAGAATATGATGAATAATATGAATATGAAAATATGAATGAACCAAAAGAATAGGGAAAAGGGCTCAGGGGCTCCATGGGAAATTCATCCCTCATCCTGTTCCATGGCACACAGGAAAACCCTTGGGCTTTTTTCAAAATTTCACCTCAAAGACAGATTGGAGTCCCTCCTATACTCTGCAAAGATCTGAGGTATGGGTGTGTGTGTGTGACATTTATACAGAGTGGCTTGGGGGAGGAGTGTAAAAATGAAAGCAAAACTTAAATCTTGCTTAAGAAACCCTTCTAGCTGCTGTAATCCCAGTGACTAGGGAGGCTGAAGCAGGAGGCTGGCAAGTTAGAGGACAGCTTGAGCAACTTAGTGAGAGTAAAAGAGTAAAGAGTAAAAGGGACTGGGGATGTAGATCAGTGGTAAAGCACCACTGAGTTCAATCCCCAGTACCAAAAAGAAAAAGAAACCTTTGTAAATGTCACACAATCTTATGTGTCTGTGTGTGTGTATTGGGGGCAGTGGGGTGAGGTACTGAAGATACTGGAGTTCTTTACCACTGAGCCTCACCCCCAGCCCTTTTTATTTTTATTTTGAGACAGTGTCTCACTAAGTGGCCCAGGCTGGCCTGGAACTTGCTTCAGCCTCCTGAGTCACTGGGATTATAGGTGTGCACCATGATGGCGCCGAGCTGTGTGGTATTTAAAATGCCCAACATACTTTTCCCCTTCCCTTCCCTTTTACTTTAATCTACCTTAAGTTAATCATGTACAGTTCCTAGTCACTCTTCAAACTGTTCATTTAGATTGTTCCCCGAGCAGTCATTATGTGCTTTTGAGGTACCAGGTACTATTATAAGTGCTGACATATACTGTTTCATTTAATGCCCCAATAACCTTATCAGTTGGGATTAATTATTATTCACCCTATTTACAACTAGGGAAAGGAAAAGGCCAAGAAACTTCCAAAGGGTCTCAGAGTTGGTAAGACAGAATCAAAATTTGGATTTTTTTAAGTCAAATATATTTATTCTTCACTCATTAATGAAATATTTAAAGACATATCTTCTGTTTTGTAGTAATTGTGCAAAATTTTAGAGATATAGGAGGAAATGCAAATTTTCATAGTTTTGTGAGAGAGAAGTTAGGAACAACTCCACAGAGGCGGTAAGAAGTCTTGATAAAATAGAAGTAACTGAAGTTCATTTGAGATGTAAACTCAGAAGAGAGCAAACAGCCAGGTGTGGCTGAATATAAGGATCTTGAAGGAGAATAAGCAGTACATTAAGCCAAAATGACAGTATGCACCAGGTGGCATCAGTCAAGATAGCTCTTTGGAGTGGTTTCAATGCCAACCTGGTAGATCAATGGATCCGTGATTCTCAAGAAAGGATGTATGTATGCACCACAGTTGGAGAGCATGCTACCTCTTCTCCACCATAGATATCCTC